AATGTCATCAACATATTCGAGAAGGAAAACTCTTTAATTGTTCACATGGTAGACAAATAAAGAAGAGTCAATCTTTGAGCTAATAAATTTTGATAATGTGACGTCTTTTAACGAGTGCCATTTTGTTCATATGTATGAGGATTAGACATGAATTATACCAATTGAACTAAAAGTTTATTCGGATTGTGAAATTCTCCACCCCAATCGGCTTGAATTTGTTAGATCTTACAATTAAATTGATACTCAACCATTTTTTGAAAGTGAATAAAAGTATCAAAGACATCCGATATTATACATAACAAAAAAATATCAAAATACTTTCAAAAATAGTCTATAAATATTACATAGTATTGGTGACCATTATCATAGGTAGTAGGTGAAGGTCCGCAAAAATCACTAAAAATTAAATTTAAAAATCCGAGTGCTCAAATTAAAAGAGAAAGACAACAATAAACAGTTTGTTTTTCCTAGTTGACAAGACAAGTAAGGGCTAAACAATTTTATAAAAGATGATAAATCATGATTTTTTTAAATATAAACAAGTACTCATTTGAACAGATGACCCAATCGAAGTGCTAAATATTTAAAGAAGATAGAGTATACTTGAGGACTTGATAGATTTGATGAAAAAGGTAGAAAATAGAGACCAACATCACTCGGGCTTGAAAGAAGATGAGTCTTTTGTACTTGGTTCTTTAGACAGAAAGAAGAAGGGTGACTCTCAAAATAAATTATTGTCTCATGCGAGTTTTTTAATAGATAATAAAGGTCTAGTTATTTGAGAAACATGAAAAACATCAAGTAAATGTAAAATTTTAGAATGAATTTGAATATGATTTGAACCAATATGCTGAATAGGTAAATACTCACCCTTACCAATCTAAAACTGATCAGTTTCTGGATATGGCTCATAAGTGCCAAGGCTTGCCAAATCCGATGTCACATGGAGAGAAACACAGCGTCAAGACACTGTGAATGAGGATTTAGAGTAGAGGAGGACAAACCCAAAATATTTACAGAGGGACAAAAAGTCTACAACATACATTATGGGCAGTATATTGTCGTGTGATTCCAAGAAGAGCAAATCTAACATTTATTTCTATATTCATTTTGGGACCAATTGCCCATATTTTTAGCACTAGAGTTGGAAATATACCTGTTGGACTTTAACCACGCCTCCCTTACGAAATGATCGGCCACTGCACGGCTAGGATTGCCAAAATGCTCTGTAGGAAATCCTGGAGCAATTTGAATCAAATTGGTAGTTGGTGGAGTGGGTAACAAAGCTAGACTCGGTGCAAAAGTAGAAAAATCAAAAGAGGAGTCATGGAATAAAAACTCATAGCTAAGAATAAGACTATAGAGATTATTAAAGTTTAGTGGTTCTGATCGCGTGGATAATGTAGTGATAGTATCTTTGAAGTCTTTTGATAAGTCTTTGAAAACATACAAGTCGAAATTAATTTCTAGAAGAGGACGCCTAATGGTAATGAGTTAATTATTATAGGATTTTGCATGCTATAGGTACTGAGAAACAGTTTTATTCGGCTCTTGACATAATTTTTACAGAGCAAGGTGAAATGTCATGAGTTGTGTGCTAAAAGAGAGTCAAAAGCATGCTCAAGAACAGACCACACTTTTCGAGAAGTGGTGCAGTCAATAATCATTGACAGAACCTCAAAAGAGAGAGAGAAAATGAAAGTGCTCATAAATAACTGATCCTGCTGAACCCAAACGATATGATGTGGATTTGCATGAGTTATGTCAGAGTCTGCTATGATAATCTGACTAGGAAGGCATGAATTGGATCCATCAATGAAGTCGAAAACGTCTTGGCTAAGAAGGAATGGTTTCACCTGAACACGCTATATAAAAAATTAGTGTCGATAAGTTTTAGAGAAATGAAGTGGTGAGCATTGGTTATGTGATTGGGTTGTGTGAGAATTGTATTGGTGTGGCCATAGACGAAGAATTACCGGTAGAGGAAGCCATTTTATGGTGGTTAAGGCTAGCAAAAAGGAAAGATCAGAGCTTAAAAAAGAAGAAGGAATGATAGTGTTGCTTTTTGAGGTTCTGGCACCAAGTTGAAATGGAGAAACAAGAGGTGTGAATGAATGATATTTTTCATATGTATTATTCAGAGTTTAACCATTCTTTCATAGTGTTAGATGTACACAACTTTACAATTCTTATCTATAATAAGAAGAGATATATACATTGAGAAGCCGTGGATGTTGCTGAAGGAGAACAAGAAATAGAAGAAAAAAGAGACTTAGCAGAAGAAAGAGACTCTTGTATTAACACTCATCCCAAAAAAAAAATTCGTTGCTTTCTTTTTCCTGATCATATTCTTATTACTCATCAGCATTTATATGTAATGATCGGAGCTTTCCCTCTATGCTCTTGTTACCATTTATTTGGTTATATTCTACTGTTTCTGATTTTATGGCAATGACAAATTAATAATGACAGATGAGCGAATTCAAGAGGTGGATATCCATTGATAAGATTTTGAACGTTTGTGAAGTACACAAGCAAATGAAGATTCCCCAGTCCATGAGTATTATAACTTTACATGTACAAAGAATACCTGCAACGGGTATGGAGGACATCATGATTTGAGTGATGACATGCGCTGTGATCCATCTACTCATGGAAAAACAAGGCCTACGAAAGTTCACTTTCTCGTGCATTATCACAAAATTTCCAGGTGTGGATAAAGATTCATATTGCACTATCACTACTGCCAAGCTAGAATTGTCTTGTGGTGGAGAAGAAGAGCGTCGGCAGAGGTCCACAATGTTTTTCACGAGTACGTAAAAAAGAAAGAAAGAAAGAAAGAAATCACAGAAAAGAAATTAAGATCATAAGAGATGCGGCGAGCACCAACCTTTTGGATTGTACGTATTAAAGGTGTCTATTGACGTACTTTCTTGATATTTATTTGGATAAGGATATATGCATACATACATCCTCTTACACCAAGCATCTTTTTCTTCCTTTTTTCCTTTTTCATTACAAGCTTTGATAAAAAACCATCAGCAAAAGGAGGCTGCCATTCCTTCTAATCCAATATTTTTTCACTAACGTGGTACTCAGGAATCACTTTATATTAATGGGAGCTCTCTTTAATTATCGCATATGCTCTTTCTTGTGCTGTCAAACTACTGAAGATGCTGGCTATTGTAAAAGAAACAAAGTAGGGTTTCTTTTTGTGTTTTACTGTGTCATATCCTTATTCAGAGAAAACAGATGCTATGAAGAAAGATTTGATTTGTTTAGCTTGTTTCTCATGCTCTGTCTTGCCAAGAATGGACAATATTGCAAGCATTCAGAATTAGATTATTACTATTTTATCAGTATGGAATTTCTTGTTAATGTGCCTACTTGCCTCATTTTGCTTTCCCCGTTGCACTATCAAAGAACAATTATCTCAAATAATGTGTTAGCACTTAGCACTCCGTTGGAATTAGCCAGAGAAATTTATATATATGATATGCGCTGATGTGTATGTGTACATACATATGTATTTATACATACATATATATATATATATGCGTGTGTCCGTGCACGCGTGCGCATCGAATATAGATGTCAAATGCATGTATTTAGGGATGAGCATTCGGTTAAACGATTCGGTTTTGTACGATTCGGTTTGGTTTTTGGTTAACCGAATTAAAAAAAATAAAAACCAAAACCGAATCGAAATAAATTCGGTAAATTCGATTTGTAACCGAATTATTTCGGTTTGGTTTCGAAATATTTCGGTTTTAACCAAAATATTTTGCTATAAAAAAAAACACTACAAAGAGATGTTTTGTACTAGTACTTAGTCCACTAGCCAACGAAGTAACATCTTGTTATCAATTAATCCTTTTTATAAACAATCACAAAGCCCTTGAAGATTTTAACTAAGCTTTAATGAAAACGAGTCCAAGTGTAATAAATTTGCTCATTCAAACACACTATATCCCAATTAATTACACTCTGTCACTTTCTTTTCTTACCCCAACAGATCCTCAAAATTTACTTCCCATCCGCATGTTTCGGTTTCAACAAGAATGAAGATTGAAAAGTTAGGGATTTAGAAATTAGGAAATTTTTTACTTTTTATTTCGGTTTTCGATTGAAACCGAAATTTTTTTTCTAAAAATCGAACCGAACCGAAATAATTTTGGTTTTTTCAGTTCGATTTTATATTGTATAATTTTATGTTTAAAACCGAATCAAATTTCATAATTCGGTTCGGTTTTGTTCGATTTTTAATTAACCAAACCGTTTGCTCATCCCTAGATGTATTGGCAAGATTAGGGAGGTTTACGAGTTTCACGTATTTTTGTTCTTCTCGTGTTGTTCAAATTAATTTTCAAAATTCTGTTGAGTTATACATCAAGAATATTCAAACAGTAAAGTTAGGTGGATTGGAATTTTAGCAGAAAAGCAGATGGAATGACTACAGATTTTTGTTCAAGATTCGTAAGGATAAAAATATGCGGTTCTTTATGTTGCATCACTAACGTGCCCAAGATGTGCTGGAACTTGTTATTGGCATAAACGAAAGAGTGGTGATACAGAGTTTATTTTATCCAACATGTTCCAGTATACATAAATCATCTATTGTAGTCATAGTTTTTTTTTTTTTTTTTAAAAAAAGAGCTAGTGAGGTCAGCATTACAGATGGAATATGTGCCAGTGTTTTCTAATCAGCTTGCAATGATGTTCCTAAAAAGAAAAAAGAAAAGGAAAAAGAATAAAAACCAATGGAAACTATATACAAGAAGCATCCATCTATCGTATTATGGGGGGCTGATATGATGTCTATGCTTTAGCATCGGCACGTGGCCATTAGGGCTCTTAACCATCATCATAGAAGCCATGCCCAAAACATAAACATTCTAGACTTCCTTGCTTATTATATATAGCCCCATTGGCTTCAAAACCTATTCAACAATAAATATAGTTTCTCTAGCCCTTGTATCGACTCCTCTTTGCTTGTTGTCATGGATGGAAAGAAATTGGAGTACAAAGGTGGGGTTGCACTGAAGGAAATTGAAAAGCTTACTGAGAAGGCTGATGAAGTTCAGGAAGCTATACTGAAAGAGATCATAATGCAAAATGGGGAAACTGAGTATTTGAGCAAGTATATGAAGGGATCAAAGGATGTAGAAGAGTTTAAGTTCCATGTCCCTGTCATTAATTACAAGGATGTCTGTCCTTATATCCAAAGGATTGCTGATGGAGAAGATTCTTCTCTTATTACCGGTCATCTTGTAACTGAGATGCTATGCAGGTCTCTCTCTCTCTTTCACCTTAACATTTCTCGTGCCTGTTCACTTATTAAATGCTTTCTTTCTTGTTTAATTTTGTAAGGATATCTGCTTTTTTATATGTTAGTTAATTGACTCGTCATTCTGCATTTGCAGTTCAGGGACTTCTGCAGGAGAGCCTAAGTTAATGCCATCAATAGCAGAAGATCTGGATCGCCGAACCTTTGTATATAACCTCATCATGCCGATAATGAACCAGTTACGTACATCTTCTCTATATTTTATAACTACATCTTCATATAGTTGGGAGTTAATTACTGTCCCTATGTAGTGCTTCAACGTCTTGATGTAGACCAGTTGCACTAAGTTATTATTAGTCTTCTGGGACATGCTTGAAATCGTCTTTAGAAGGGTAAGCTAGCTAGAAGCAATATTAGTCCTTTCCCTCTTTTTCAGGTAAAACTGGTTTCTCTTTTTCTTGTTACTCACCGTACCCTCGCCCGAGCTGTGGACCCCTTCGTTCTGAGTATGGACAAAAGGTACGCTCTGATTAAGGGCATGCTGGACTGGAATTGATAAGACATGATGCTGTGCATTAGTTGGTTTAACTCAATCTGAAGACTCTTTCCCTTAAAAAATCAGAGTCTTGCCTGTGCTTAAAAAGCTTTATTAGCGTAGGCCGTAGAAGCCAACAAAGCTTTCACAAAAGGGGGAACTAAAGTAATTAGCGTTGTCCTATTTGTGGATGAAGGCAAGCCGATGAAGGTTATTTTAGTTCTATTGTTAGTCTCTGCTTGCCATAGGAGATTTTATCCTTTCTAGTTCTTTCATAAAAAAGTTTTATTGAGTGGTTGCAGCTACATATGTAAATCAATCAGGTCAAAATTAAGTTGGTGACTTTTATCATATTATTTTCTTTCAAGCTTTATCATTAAGAATTTAAATCCAGCAGTATATGTTAGCTTAAAGTTATTATTTCAGGTACATCCCTGGTCTTGATGAGGGCAAAGCAATGTTCCTGTACTTTATCAAGGCGGAAATGTCCACTCCCTGTGGCTTACCGGCTCGAACTGTGCTAACCAGTTACTACAAAAGCAAACACTTTAAGTGCCGAACCCGCGATGCATTTAATGATTTCACTAGCCCAGACCAAGCCATCCTGTGCAAGGATAGCAACCAGAGCATGTATTGCCAGTTGTTGTCTGGTCTAGTTCACCGTCATCAAGTCCTAAGGCTTGGGGCTGTATTTGCATCAGCTTTTCTGCGAGCCATCTCATTTCTTGAACGCAACTGGGGCCGCTTATGCAATGATATACGCAGGGGTGACTTAGATCCTACCATCACAGATCCTGAATGTCGTTCATGCATGTCGATGGTACTAACATCACCTAATCCTTGTCTTGCGGATGAGATTGAGGAGATTTGTGCCAATCCATCATGGAAGGGAATTTTATGTCACCTTTGGCCTAGAGCTACGTACATTGAGGCAGTGGTGACTGGGTCTATGGCACAATATATACCAGCGCTCGAGTATTATAGCGAAGGGAAGTTGCCTTTGGTGTGTACAATGTATGCTTCCTCTGAGTGTTACTTCGGTGTCAATTTGAAACCTTTATGTGATCCTGCAGAGGTGGCATTTACCCTCTTGCCTAACATGTGTTATTTTGAGTTCATACATTTGGGAGATAATGGGACATGGTTGGTGGACATTGATGAGGAAGAACGAGTGCCCAATGATAAGCTTGTCAAGTTGGTGAATGTTAGACTCGGCTCCTACTATGAGTTGGTTGTGACTACCTTTGCTGGTAAGAAGCATCTTTCAATTGGTTTTGCTTTTCCAATTTTTAGTGTTTGCAAAGTCATCTAGGGCCCAGTGAAAGTCATTTTCTGAAAACGCCTTTGCGCTTATTTAGCTGATCTAATATGGTTCCTCTCGTTGCTAGTATCATCTTCCGAGATGTCACATCTTTGAGGTACCATGAACTGGACCGTTTTTCTGCACAAACATGGGGATAAGATTAATTATACAAAGCATACCTCACCGTTTCTGGTGCTGCAAAGAATTATTGTTTTGTCATTCTACTCTTTCCCTCTCTCTCTAGCTCTCTCTCTCTCTCTCATAAAGATCACTATCCAAATATATTCGACGTGAGGCAGAATTTGGAGAAGGTATTTTGAATGAAATGGTAGCTTTCAAGACTGAAACTGCTCCTGATATATATATATATATATTCCCTTGGATAACTTAAATGCTGCCATTATAAATTAATCTTTCTGTGAATGATTCAGGGCTATGTCGTTATCGTATCGGCGATGTGCTCCGAGTGACAGGATTTCACAACAAAGCCCCGCAGTTCCAATTCATTTGTAGGAGAAATGTGGTTCTCAGCATTGACAATGACAAAACTAACGAGGAAGATCTTCACAAAAGCATCACTGCTGCGAAGAAATTATTAGAACCCTACAACGCCCTGCTGGTGGAATACACCAGCTATGCAGACACATCGTCTCTGCCAGGGCACTATGTGCTGTATTGGGAAATTTTCCATGATGCATCATTCCCAGACTCCTCAGTCCAACTTGTTGTCAAGGTACTCCAAGAATGCTGCGTCAGTGTAGAAGAAGAACTTGATTATGTGTACAGGCGATGCCGTACTCAGGACAAGTCTGTAGGACCGCTGGAGATACGCGTGGTGGAGTCTGGCACATTTGAGGCACTAATGGATTTTTTCATTGGCCAAGGGGCATCATTCAATCAGTATAAAACTCCAAGGTGCATCAAGTCGAATGCTGCTCTTAAGTTACTTAATTCCCATGTTAAGGCATCAGTCTTTAGTCCAAGAGCTCCTGCTTGGATCCCTTGAGCGTGTTTTATCAAATTTAAACCTGTTTTTCTTTTTCATCCATCAATTCTTCCGCTACAGTCAATGCAACAAATCTGAAGGGCTACTCAGCAGCAATGTGCAGTGCCCTGATGAAGCCCTGAACCGTTTATATATATGTATGTGTGGAGGGTAGTGATTTAAAATGTGCTGCTTCTGAACACGTGATTATCCTTTCTGCTTAATTTTCTGGTATTATGAGATTTTCATGGGAACCATCATGCAATTATACAATGGATTGACAAAATCATGATTTTATGTAGAGAATGCACTCAAATCTGTTGCGACCACTAGGATCGATACATCTAGCTAGCTAGTGGGCATTTTCACTCTGGAAGGACTAGAACAAGGTAACGGTAAAAAGATATTAGCAGGACCGTATATTATTTCATTGTGAGCATTATTACCATACAGAAGTTGACCAAAAAATGAGAGGTACATCCTAAGCGTTTTAGCTTCAACTATGGTTACTTTTGAAAAATTCAGATGTCAGGTACCACATATTGTTTACATACACCCAGTATGCCGGTGCGTATAGCTAGATCCAGTCATAGTTTTATTAGCTATATATATATATATATAGATTAAAACTTAGTAATTTCGTCGAGAATCATTTGGTGGATGTCTCATGACATTTTACAGATAGATGAATCGTTTAAATACTGAAGTATCTATTATACATACATAATTGGTGCTTCATGATATTTTGCTCGGGCTGCTCCGAAGGTGATAGCTACACTCTATCCCCTAACCTGTGGAATGCTGAATGGCACAGTGTCAAGACAAGTTGGTGTGTAACCGCAAAATCAGCTTTGAATTTTGTGTTTTCTTATCCAGGACCTTCTAAAGTGACCCACCAATTGAATCGGTGCATTCATCAACTCAAAATCTTTTTGTAAAGAGGAAACAAAAAGGATCCACTGGACAACATATTTGATGAGCGTGCTCCAATATATGCATGCACTTTGACTTTATTGATAGTATTGGTTCCATATTTTTAGGGCTGTTAATATTTAAGGACTGTCATATAATGTTTTTAAAAAAAAATTTTATTATTATTTTAATATTATAGTAAATTATATTTTACGACAACAACGATCGTGATTGTTTTTTTAACTATTCATGATTTAAAACTATTATCGGTTCAATTAGATAAATTATTAGGTATATCAAGAGTATCTTATTCTGTCATAAAAATATAGAATCTATTGTAAAAATGATTCATCGATTTCATGTTTTTTTAGACAGAGAAATACAGTTCTCGATTTACTGAATAATTCCCTGTTCAATAAAAAAATAAAAATATCTACATCAAGAGAGAGAAACCAACCTAAAGCTCCAACATAATGTAAAGCAAATGAGAGGCCAACTTTTAACTCTGCATCTATCTTTATATCTATCGATAGCTACCACACAATTACTTACTAATGAAAGGAGAATCTTAGCATCATGTTATGTCTTTTTACATGATAACTACATTGTAAATGAAAATTGCGAGAAATAAAGTAGTGTATATAATTGACGTTTCAGTAAATATACTAATTTTTTTTATATAATTGATCGATATGAAAGTTCAGATCTCGATCGAACACTTATTTTTCTGTAACTACTTGTGAATCATGTATGTACAAAACATTAATTACCCCTGCAAGGCTGCAACAAATGTACGAATTTAGTTGAAGACCCAATTGAGTTATTTGAATTTAGAGTTCAGCATGCATGAGATGTGCAGGTTTGCCAAAGACAATAATTTATCAAGAATTCAAATTTAATTTAGCAAAAATAAACCAAAATTTTCTTTTTTGGTAAAACAAAACGAAATAATAAACGAACTTGTAGAAGAGCTAATTATAAACTCTTGTACCAAGATGGACTTTTGTTTGGTTACATGGGCGAAAAAATTGTTAAATGTGCAATGAGGCGTAAATAAGTTTGTTGTTTACTTTTGTTTTTGAATATTTTGTTTTCCTATAGCATAGCCGCAAGTGGTACTTGTTTAAAATGGCTTTTTTTTATTATTATTCTTAGGATATATCAAACTTAAAAGTTCTGATTAAATATTTTTGATTATTCGATCAAATAGATAAAACAGACATATTTATTCAAAAAAAAAATTTTATGTATATAAAAATTTAAAAACAAAATTATTTAATTAAATAATTAAAATATTTTTTGCTCAGGTCAATCTTTTTGAATTAGTCAATTTATATTGTAATATAATTCAGTGGAGCTCATTCACGTTCTTGAGAACATGACAAGAAAAAGCTTATTGTAAAATTGTGTCGGCATGAGAGATTCAAGGAACAAATTAAGCAATGGCACCACGAAAGAGGTTGAGTCATCAGGCACTATATACGTTGGTGTTTAAAGTTGGATTTTATATGTATAGTACTGTAACGATGTTCTCATAGCCATATCTCTTTCTGACTAAAGAAACCGCAAACAAATTAAATGATTTGATTCTCTGTATTTTAAATATTAACACAGCTAAAATTCGTATTGAAATATACGTGTATCTTTATAAATTAGTTCGAGAAAATTCATCCAAGAAAAAAGAAAAGAAAAGAAAGGAAAGTTCAAGAAAAAAAAGAAAAGAGAAAAAAAAAAAAAGAAGAAGAAGAAGAAGGAGAGGAAGAAGGTGGTGCTAAATATGAGAAGAGAAAGAGAGGATAAAATCTGCTGAAAATGGGGCCTAGCTACTTTATTGTTTAGTGAATCTTTATATGTTCTTTCTTTCGCAATGTCTACCACACGCTCCCTCTTTTGTCTTCTACTCCCGATCACAAAAAGTGCTCGTACTATAATTTCATCCCTCAACATCCCATCGTGTTAATGTTCAATTTGTGATATAAAATACTGTCGTCCTGCACTGCTGGTCGTGGAAATGTTTTTGCCTGATTTTTTTTTTTCGGTTTGGTTGTTAGATATTCTCGACAAAATTATATGTTATCGAATTTTTTTTTTTTTTACCAATTTTAAAAATCACCTTTTACATGCATCTAACATATTCAAATAAAGACGAGGAGTAGGAATAGCCTTTGCCTCCAAAGGTTATAAAAATCTCAAGATTTTCTTTATTTCCAGGAACATTTCAAATTAACTTTACAAAAATCTCTAGATTTTCTTCATTTTAATGCAATTTTAAAGTTTCGATTTTGATCTTTTCAAATATTGGATTCTGAATTCGCTCTTATATTATGAGAATATATCCTTATCACAATATTTGAATTCGAAAGGAAAAAAAAAGAAGGCAAATTAAGGTTTTCTATTGTTTAATAAATTAAACAAACATGTTGTTAGCTAGTGAAAAATCTTATAACGATGTCTATTCATCGTCTTTCCCATTAAAACGGCTGCAATGTCGATGAAATAGAGCTATAACATTATTCTTTTGGGGAAACGATCAATGCATCAATTTTCATGAAGATGGTCTCCAACGCGAGGGATGATGTCATTCGGGGCGTATTATGTATGGACGCTTTTAATTCGTCAAAGGCTGCAATACAGTTGTCAACAAGAAAAGCAGCACTAATTCATCCTCCGAATGATGATAAAAGTAAAAGAAAGAGAGAATGAAACTAAACGGAGATGACACAAAGTGGATGGCAAGAAGGTGTTTCAAGTTGGTCAGTGGGATAACCAAAAAAAGGATCATTGATGTGGATCGATAATTAATGTAAATTTAGCATTTGCAATTAAAATTGACATCTAAATTAAAAAATAAAAAATAAAAAAATTGGATCATTGACGTGGATCAAGAATTAATGTAAATTTAGCATTTGCAATTTAAAAAAACGAATATTAAATTGATTAATATTCAAGATCCGAAATTTAAGGGCCATTAATGGGCTTGCAACTTAAGTTGCTCAAGGCCCAAGCTTACAAATTAAGACGCACTATACTACCCAATAAGCTGAAACGCTGTACCGCAAAAAAGCATTCAAAAAGGGTTTCGCGAGCATCTACGGATGCTGATTCACACTTATAAAAACAAACATCAAATTCAAATCGTATTATTATTTAATTTTTTATTTTTTATTTTTATTTAAATTGATTTTTTAATTTAATAAATAAAATAATATAATATAAAAAGATAAAAAATAACAACATATTACTAATACTCTAAAACACAAAGCAATTTCACCGTTTAATAAACACTGTTTTTCCTGGCCTCTTTATTTTTTATTTAGCCCAGCAACCAAGGCCTTGGCCGGCCTCCTTTTTTTTTTTTTTCTCTTTCATATATATACATATATCAACCTGACCTCTCTTTTTTCCCCGTTCTAAAAATATATATACGTATATATTACTATCAAACTGTGTTTTTGCGGTCTTTTTTTATTTCTTCATATATATATATATATATATATATATCACACTTAAGTAAAATGATATTTTACTATTCATAAGACTTTTAACACACTCACAAATCATTATTATTTTCACAGTTTATGTCATATTTGTAATACTTTGGTCCTCATTTTTTTTATTTTTTTATTTTAAACTTTAATTGTATTGTGATTTGGTCTCATTTTGTTTTAGTTTTTTTTAAAATATTTTTATTATTTAAAATTTACTATTTTAATTTGTCAATTTTTTTTTAAATTCTCATCCAATTAATTTAAAATTATATGGTCCTCAATTTTTCTATATATATTTTTTTTCAATTTCAAACTTTAATTATATGACGATTTTGTCCCGTTTTGTTTTAGTATTTTTTGTTGATTGTTTTTATTATTTCAAATTTACTACTTTAATTTGTCATTTTTTTAAATTCTCATCCGAGTTAATTTAAAATTATATTTACGGATAGTTTTGATTTATTTTAATATTATTCATTCTTTTGTAAATAAATATATAAAAATTAAATTCATATTTTTTTCAAAAATCGATATATTATTTGTTCGAGTTCTATGTAAGTTTTTAATAATTATTATTTTTGTTTTTCGACAAAATCTTATGAAATACTTAAGCTTTTAAAAAAATTTATTTAATTTTCTTTTTAGTTAATAATCTATGGATTAACAAGGATAAATCATTTTTCTAAAGAAAAAATTATGAAAAACACAAATAAGAAATAGTTAAATATAAATTTTTTTATTAAAAATTATAAATATATTTTTTTCATCTTTGATTTCATATATTTTTTATAAATTCACACCATAAAATACACTATCAAACTGAAATAATTTTTTTAAATGATTTTATATATTTTATCCAACTCTGTAGCGTAGTACGAGCAAAAAAATCTAGTCATATATCTATAATAAATGTTAAGTTATTGATTTTTTTTTGTTTATTTGCATTATTTTAAAACTTAAAAAAAATCAAAATCAAAATCAAAATAAAGAATTTTAAAAACCAAGCCCAACAAAAAAAAATGGATTCGCTTTTTTTTTTTTTAATTAAGAATCAATTTCAAAATTGATATTTTGATTTGATCTGATCTCAACCCTGTGAGCATCTAAGAGATACGTTCAGTAATATTTTACATTTCAGTCCCTATAGTTTATTTTCATTATGTTGTGGTTCCTATCTCTATTGATGGAGAGAGAGAGGAGAAATGGCGGAGAGAGAAGAGGCAGAAAAGGTGGTGTTGGCAGCATCGATTCTGCCTTCAAAACCCATTGATTTCGGTCTTAATCTATTCAAATTGGAGAAAGAATTCGTTGAAGGTGGTGTCAATTTCCAATATAATCGAAAAAAGAGGATTGAAAATCGAAACTATGTTTTTAACTTTGATTTGTTTCTTTTTTTTTTTTTTTAAGGTTTTTAGAGTGAATTTAAATGCATTTTGAGATTGCAAATGGGTTTGTAGTGGCTATTAGGATTCTTTAAGGTATTTTAGAGGAAAATTAGTTAACAGATGGGAGTTTTGGGTATTAGGGACAAAGAAATACCATAATTATGTTGTATAGATTATTTCATATCTTGAAATATTAGTAAAAAATATGTATCTCAACCTCCAAAGAACAAGCAACCTATAGTAATTAATACATTCACTTTCTAAACCTCATCAATATAAATCCTTGCAATCTTAACATTTTCACTTCCGGGAAAAAATCCGTAGGGCCTATACTCACTGCCGGTTCCATAATATCATCGTTGGAATTTGAGGTGGGGTGCGTGTATAGAAAAACGAATTAGCATCGGCTGATAAGATGTTACTTTCAGGAGAAATTTCAAGATACAAATATACAGTTAGGCCCTCATCTCTAATGCCACACTTTGCAAGCTAATTCTTGAAACATAAAATTGTGTTTGTGAACTGAACCTCAGTTAAAATTATAAACTTGCACTTTCTCATCGGTTTTTTTCATATAATAACGCTCGAATTACTGCATTCTGTCCGGATTCTATGACCAAGAGTGATCCAACAAGTTGCAAATATCATAAATGAAAAAAAAAGATCAAGTAATTAAAGATGTTAAAGATAAGGTACGAATTGGGAAATGTACATGTTTAGTTTTGTGGGTGTAACAGATGCATGGTTCTTACTCCTCAAGAGGTACTGTAGTTGGCTAGGTTCGGAATGGCTCCGGCATAGCCTGCTCGTCCTGCATAAGGGATAGGAATAAGATGCTGGTAAGAGATAGTTGACTGTGTTGGAGTAAGGGTTAAATGGAGAGACCAATTTGTCACCAACTGCTTTGTCAAATACTTGCACAAAAGTTTGGGGACTGAGATCATATAGAGGTCTTGGAATTCCACCAACGTTTGTATAATTGCCCTGAAAAATCTCGTAAATAATTAATAGAACATAATGGGATGAATATTGAACTGAATCTCAACTACCTTAGATGAAGAACCTCTTGATAGCCAAATTCTTCTATAATTCTACTAGTGATAGGATCAAGGTTGGCCTTTTCGGGTCCAATTGGAGGAGGACCGCATTCAGCAAAAGCTGGTTCGATGGCATCAAGTCCTTGGCCAAGTGCACAATACAAGAAGAACTCAGCTTCGAAGAATTCCAAGTTGAGAGCAAATTGAATCTGATCCTGGTCGCTAGCCTTAACCGGACCGCAGTATGGAAAACTCCGGATACCGGTAGTAGCCACAACAAAAGCAAGAATAAAGGTAACCATTTTAAAATGCATGAAGCAGGCAGTGCAATGCAGGGTATTTACACCATGAACTCAGCGTATGGTAAAACATTTATAACATGTAATTCTACATAGATACAGAGCGTAGGCCCAGCTCTGCTCAGAGATGGAATGGATGGATATCCAGCCTTTAAACTGAATGGATATCCCGCCTATTAATTTAATTTTTTTTTGTATCCATACAAAATATTTTATTTATCATCTATTAAGAAATTATTATATAAATTTTTATCCTACTTATACCCTATCAACATTAGTTTATCTATCCATTTAATATTCGTTTAATATCCATTAAAATAATTTGTCAAAAATATTAAAAATTTTGGTCCTTAAAATTTATTATTATTATTATTATTATTATTATTATGCATTTTGGTCATTTTTTATAAGTTTTCTTGATCCTCAAAATTTTTGAAAAATTATTTTGGTACTTAATTTTAAAATTTTATTTAATTACATTTATTTCATACAAAAAATAATAATAAATTAGAGAGTATTAATAAAGTAAAGAATAAGTATTTATATCTTGAAATCATATTAATGGATATGTATTTTTTTATCCTTATTATTACTTGTTTGTTGAATTCGGTCTCAAAATAGAGTATGTCGACGCTTCAATTTATAACCAAGACCTTCACTATGAAATACTATGAGGTTCGGTTTCGTCTAGCAAGCTTCTAGGACTTTCTATGAGTACTCAATTTAAAGTAAAAGAAATAAAATAAAAAGAATGCTATTAATCGAAAGAAATAATATTCAATAGATGAAAAGAATTTTATCAATCGAAGAGACAAAATTCATTTAAAAGAATGTACACATTATAGATTGAAAAATATGACACTTTTATCATTAGCTATCGAGACATTTGAAATCATTTATTCACAATCAATGACAAATCAACACTTTCTAAATTACAAAGATGAAATTACTTAGGACGAGTAAAAGCTATTGAACTATTTGCGGAAAATTAGAAACTAATTATTACAAGTAAACGAGAGAATTTGAATAAACTTATGTTGAAAAAGTCTTATATTGTTGATTGTCTCCAATTCTATTAGTCTCCCTTCTTTAAATAACTCTCGATTGATGATTGTCTTGCATTTAAAATTAATCGCGAACGATTATTTGAAAACTATCTATTTTATTTTTTTTTAGGTATATTGTCTCTTCGAAACTGGCTAATTACATGACTAAATGCATTGTTTTACTTAAATCTTATGATTTCGTCGAAACTTGGTTAGTTATACGACCAAACGCACCATTTCAATTAAAACTCAATGCTCCGTCGAAACTTTATTGGTTATAAAACCAAATGCACCGTTTCATTTAAAACTTAATATCACGTCGAAATTTAATTAGTTTATAAGATCAAACATACCATTTTATTTATGGTTTATTGCCTCATCATAAGAAAATATCACACTTGGTCAACGTGTTATCTTAAATTTTGAAGTACTAATACTTACTCACTTCAATATTCGTTTGATATTTTAACAAGTGTTTATTAAGTTGGATAAAACAAATATATGTTTTATATCCGATTCATGGTCATCCGTAATCGTATTATAAATCAACAACTACAAAATTAATTGATGATGTTTGTACGCTGTCAATTTGTACAAGTATCCACTTGATATTTATGTTCTAAATTTAGCTAACTATAAACTAGCTAACTTGTTTACGTTTTGTTTTAATTAGACGGGAAGACCCATTAGACAGAACAGAGCCTTCAGTGCTACCCTGCTTGCAGTCATAGAAAGGCTCTTAGCTCGAAAATTAATTATCTACTAAATTCAAAGCGAGCAAAAATTTTCTTGCTAGTTAACATTTCTAGACGGAGACTGTTGGCATAGTAGTGTCTCAAGAGGTTATGTCAATGGTCTTTTGATCTAAATATTAAACCCAGAAACGAGATCTTAAAAAGGATTTCAATTATAGTTTATTGGTTTGATTTTATTTGAGTTTTTCTTATATTAACACAAATTTTTAAATGATAATTCTTAAATTAATATTGTGAGTTTAGAGCTCCTGGGATGCGTTGTAAACACACATCAGATTCTTGGGTTGCCAAGCTAGATTGTTTCTTTTTTTTTCTTTTTTTAATCTTTTTTCTTTTTTCTTTTTTCTAATTTTTATTATTATTTATGTTGGACTGTCTCACCAAGTTGGCCCGAGTGAGATGGCCTAGCTTACTTAGCCCAAGCAAGATGGCCTAGATCCGTTATTTTTGTTATTATTATTGAAAAAAAAAAATAGAAAGTTTAGCTTAAAGGCAAACCGCCTGTTCGAGGGTAGAAAATTCCCTAGTTGTCACCAAGGCAAGAGTCGAACCATGGTCTTGCCAATCCTTCTCTGGGTTCACAAGTTAGCAACCACAGAGTACTATCGTATGGAAGTGGAACCCACAGTTAAAGTAAATTACTGAGGTAAAGAAATTAAATAGCCACTTGAAATGCCAGAAAGCTAAAATTTCTTATATGCAAAGGATGAGATTTGGTTCTGTATGATCCAAAAGAGAACAACTTTGAGATATTCGTTATCAGGCTTGTCGAAGGGTTAGACTAAATACATCAATAGCTTCTTGGAAATCAAGATTAAGTGATGTAAAAAATTAGATCTGTATCGCTAATTTATTTATTTATTTTAGAAGAAGAAAACAAGGCTCTTGAGAAAATAATTTTGGGATTTATTAGATAATCCAATCCTTTTTAACCAAATTCTGCTCACAATTCACATGAAGAAAAAACAAAAGAAAAGAATTCCAGCTGTTTATACTTCAATATTCTTCACAAAGATGCACCAACTATATGGTAAAAATTATCTCATAGCATCAAGAAAAGACAACATATTTCATTTTACAAGAAAATCGCTCTCTTTTGGCCATTAGAATTGGAAGCTTTCCTTCTATCATCCAATAATTCTTGAAAGCTGTGGCTGATGCATGCATGTACAGTAGCTCTTTCCCACGGCATCAGCCATATCATACACATAATTATGTACATCCAATTAGTTAAATGACACTTTTTTCTTGCACGGCAATTAATCATCCCTAAGGATCCAACTTAAAAATATATATTTGGTTTAAACGAAAGTCAAGAGAGGATATTTATGTATGGCCCCATGACCCCAAGAACATCATGGTTCTTATAGGGTCCTCTGCCTGATAGCTCCAATTTCGTCTTTCGATTTGTTTTGAATATAAAAGAGCACCGTTTCCCTTACCAGCCCCATTCATAGCCATGGTCATGGAGACAGTAGCTGCATCAATAGCCTGCTTGACCCTCTCTCCAATTGTTCTCTTCGATTCATGAGGAAGAGAACCATCGCTGGAGAGATTACGTGGCTTCATCTTGATAATATTTATTTTGCGTAACTAATTACTTAGGGTGGCTAAGATATTAGAAGTAAGCAGGGACCTTGCCCATGTATATATAGAAGAAGGAAATGGCTTGAGTGGAGTGAATGGGGTCATGTCAATTGTCATGTCCTATTGGTATTGGCTAGATTCCTAATTGTAGTGGATGACAGGTCGGCTCAATAGTTGATTGATAGTGAACTTATCTCACTAGCAGCATAACTTTTCTTTTCTTTTCTTTCTTTCCTATCATGGATCATACGCCTGTCCTCTTTGTTTTTTTATTAGGGGTGAATTTAAATTTATCCTCCTGAAATTTGAGAGATTTCTCAACTGTTCTAAAAAAAAAATTTTTGTATCAATTATTTTCTTAAGGCTTCATCGAAATTTCTATTCTTCGTTTTCAGCTATTAACCTAATATAAATAATTATATGATATTTTTTTAGTTTTCAATTGACTTAATTCCTAAAATATTTAAAAAGTCTTAATCAAATATTTATCATTCAATTACATTAAAATTTATAAAACTGATCTCATTAAAATTTCAAAAAAAAATATAGAAATTAGTATTATTTCAATTATGTCACATTATAAGTTATTGGTTTGATTTTATGAATTTTATACGATTTGAAAGGTTAATATGAATATTTCAATTATAATTTGGACATATACATATAGTGTATTGATATTAATAATTTTAGTATATTAAACTCTTTAATTTTAAACAAGAATATAAAAAGATGATATCAAATTATGTTAACTTTTTTCTTTTATATATATAAAAAAGCTATATTAATTTGGTCTTAGAACGTTGTGATTTTATTAAAATATGCAAAATTTATAGTATGAGTTTGTATATTTTTATTAATAATTTTTATATAAATTTAAAAATATGAGGTTATATATATATATATATATATATATATATATATATAATTGAAAAAAACAAGATAGTTAATATGATTGAGAAATGCATGCTTAATTAAGACTTTTTTTTTAATTTTAGGAACTCAATTGAAAAAAAAATATTATCACATCATTAATTATGTTAGTTTAATGGACGAAAGGAAAGAATTAAAATTTAGATGAAAATTAGAAGGTTGATTGATACAAATTAAATCTCATAAAAGAAATTGAGAAATTCCTCAAATTTCAGATGAGCAAAATTAAAACTTGTACTTTTTAAGGTTAAATTTCATTTTTGCCTCTATAGATTCATCAATGTTCTATTTCTTTGCCTATAGCTTTAAAACTTTTCAATATTATTCTTATAGTTTCCAAAAAGTTCAAATGTTACTTCTGACCATTAAATAATCTGTTGTTTCCATTTTTTTTTTCTGTCACATTATAAATTTCAACGAGATTTGGGGGGATGAGAGAAATTTTAGAAAAACTATGAAAAAAGTCGGTTTTTATTAGTTATTCAGTAGCAGAGTAAAAAATTGAAACATCTTATAACTTCAAGGGTAATATTAGATTATTGTATACTTAGGGACAGAAAAGGAACATAGATGGATCGATTTAGTACAAAGATAGGTTATTTTTTTAGCTTCTATTACTAGGTGGGCAACTTCCTATATATATATATATATGTTTTATGTGCTGGGTTTGTATTTTAATTGGCTACCGTTTGGATAATATGCTGATAAGAATTTTTTTTTTTTTTTGTAATATATGTTAATTGGAGACAAAGAGAATATATTTATCACTTTGGGTTTTAGATTCGTGTTCTGCCATTAACTTTTTGATGGCACGGTATGTAATTCAATTAGTATAATCATTCAATGAGATACATATTTTATACTTCGGTTTCCTGTAAAAAAAAAAAAAAAAAAAAAAAAAACTTGTCATCTATCCAAAACCATCAAACCGATTGAGAAATTCCATTTGATCCATCTATATTTGTAACATTATTCTTCCTTGGATAGGTAGAATATTTTGTTGATTTAATTACATTGTCCGATTAGATGAAAATTAAACAAAGAATCAAAGATATATGCAACATGCTTGTCATCATGGTTCGAATAAAAATGCAACATACTTTATTCTTTTCTCATGCCCTTTCTGAGTAAGAATTTTGTATTTCCAGGAAGCTTTGATTCCAAATGTTTCTTTTTGAGGAATATTGATAGTGAGGAATATATTTTACGTACATGTGAGGGGTAAATCATGACGCCATTAATGTGTATACATGCGAACTCACTTGAAGATAATGACAAACACAGTTTAGCGCAGTCATCTGAAGTAAAAATGGCTCCTCTATCTGTGGTTTGAATGGTCACCGTTTCTGTTGTCTATTTTCTTACTGCTTAACATAAAAAATTTCATACAACAAACCAATTACTATGGCTCGTATTCTTTGTTAGTTTAATCGTGTTTAATGGTTTTTTATTTAATTAAAAAGAGTTTTACACGTGAGACTTTTTAAAATAACAGGAGGGGTAGAAATGTGAGTTGAACTACCAACTTATCAGAATTGTTTGGTACATTTCCACACACACATGTCATTTGCTCATGTGACATAATAACTTTATTAATTGTTGTGTTACGCGTGTCATTTGTCAATTATCAAAAAAAAAAAAATATATATATATATATATATATACTTATACTTGTGATATCTTTAAACAGCATTAATCAATAAGATTCAATTTATTATTTTTTAAGTTAAAAGAGGATTGTATGAGGTTTAGTTTTGATTAATTATAAAAACAAAAATCTTTAAATCCATTCATATCTAATGCGAGAAATTTTATACTACACAAGAACAAAGAATAACCAGGTGACATGTACGATAGTTATTTTTTGGGTTCACTTTGAAGAGAGAGATAGAGAAAAAATAAGAGAGAGAAAATAAAAAAATTTGACGGATGTGAATATCTTTTTATCACTTTTGATGAGTGTGGATGTAATTTTTCTCTTTTTTATGTGTCTATCTCTCTTCTTAAAGTAGACTTACTCGTACGTACCACTAGCTAATCCTCGTGTATTATAAAATTTTCCATCCAAGTGCCCACACGTACAATAAAAATTTTTTTTTTAAAATAAGAATCGAACCTGACGTGACATGTTAAATACATCATGCTTACTTCTCTATCTCCAATCTTGGATGATAATATTTTGAATCGTAATATAAATAAATTAAGAATTTGAAATCCATTCAAAATTAATAAGTGAATAATTTTTAAATTGCATAAAAAAAAACTAAAACTAAACAATTGCACTAGAATAAAAAATAAATGACGAACTCCAAAAATACCTGCAAATATACAAGTCGTTTTACTGCTAAATAATTATTTTTTATCAATTGTAATTTTTAAATTTCAAAAATTTTCAATCAAGTCTTTCAATCCTATTTGATCATAAATTTCATAAAAATTATGCTCTCTTTTTTTAGAAACAATTTTGTTTTATAGGAAATTTAATGCTTCATATTAGGAAATTTTAACAAAATGATCTAATTGAGAAATCCAAATCAGTTGAAAACAAAATCGATACAAAAATTCTTTGAGGCCAGAATTTATATATATTTGAGGTTTGCCCAAAAACAAATCCCCAAAACTCAAAACTAATGTATAAAACGCTCAAAATAATTCCTTGCTGGGCCTTTGGAAGCTGTCCAATGGAACTCAAAAAAGTTGATCCGCTTATTTTAGATCATGATTAGCTTTCCTGAATAATCTGTATGGTCCCATAGTGAAATAAGAAAATTATAGATATCGAGTATTTGTTAGTATTGTTTTGCTTGAAACACAAGATCTATAAGTAAGGTATATTTTGTTTAAAAAATTAAGTACGTGACACTTAAAAAAACTTGGTTTATTTTTTAAATCAAAAAAAGATATTTTCTATATTCAGTATTCTTGTGTTATGTTGTGACTATTATACTAAATCGTGTTAGCTAGCATTATGTTATGAGATAAATTACATAATTTCACGTAAATTTGATTCTAGCCGGCCCGCGACCGCGAGCACATTAAACCTATCTTAGTGACCGTTCGACATCAAATACACAGATCCCAAGATAGGATCAACCTTTGAGTGTCCCAAATATGAACCCCAACTCAATTCCTAGATGGCCTCTTTAGCCTGACCCATTAATGCCCATGATCCAATCTCCATCCAACCCATTAACATCTTGGGACAAAATAACGACTTGATCCCTAAATGTCTAGAACTTGCCATCGACCCTATTGCGAATTCTCAAGACCTAGCTAGCCCTGGACACTCTTAGTCCAAGCCAAATCTCAGTATTTTCAATTGGTTTCAAATTCGATTTGATTTCAAAATCACTAGATGATATGTGAAAATCAAGTTTCAAAACTTTTGAATACTGTTTTTTTTTTTTTTGTTTCATTCTTAATATGTTCCATGTTTTCATAGATAAACAATTAGGCACTCAATTTCGTTTCCATGAAAATTTTGGATTTAATGGCAAATTTTACCTCATTCTATTGTGATCGGACAATTTCAAATTCATAATATCAAATTCCACAATTTGAATTTCAAAATATTAAATATTGAACAAATGTGATCAAAATTGTCTAATTTTCGTTATATGTGATGATCTAGTTGAGTGTTACTTAGAATTTCAAAATGATGTTATTTTGACATTTAGTTATTAATTATACATTTTTAAGAAAATATTTTAAAAATACTTTTAACCCCCTAGGCTTGAACTTTTTTTAAATAATATTTTATAAATTATATTAAAAAAATTTTATAAATATTTTATAAATTTGAACTTTTTTATAAAATGTTATAAACATTTTATACAAAAAAATTTTCATATATTATTTATAAATTTAGGGGGGTTCAACTCTTAATTAAACTCATTTTAATTTATAATTTTTTTGCAAAGTCTGAAATTGTGTATTATCAAGTATGTGTTTTTATAATAATGTTTTATAAAAAAGATTAAAAAATATTGATTAATTTTTTATAATATTTTATAAGAATTATTTTTTGAAAAAATTCAAAATTAAGGGGGTTAAAAAGTTTGTAAATGATTTTTTTTAAAAAATATATAATTAACAGACGAAATGTCAAAATGACGTCGTATTGACATTTCAAGTAACGCTTAACTCAATTGATCGTTACATACAACGAAAATTAGACAATTTGAATTATATTTGCTTAATCTTCAACACTTTCAGATTCTAATTACATAATTTGATATTATGGGTCCGAAATTATAAATCATAATAGAATGAAAGAAAAAATTATCATTAAATCGAAAATTTTGTGTTAAAAAATTCAAAGCTTGATCGATTTTAGGGCACAAAACACACATTACGAATGTAAAATTATATTGGTGAATTTGTTCATTATGCTTAAGAGAGTTCAATTAAAAGTTTTATTTGGGTACTGTACCCAGTGTCTTTAATAGATAAATTGGTAGTCATCTCAACAAATAAAGCTGCGACTTTATAATTGGAGGTCACATAGGCTGAACAAATGGTGAGAAGCTAGCGAGCATTTCCTGTTGGACCATAATGATGATTCTCTTTAAACCTTTTTCTTTGTCTGTCAATGGTCATGAATAGTCCAACATTTATCGTCTTGGTTCACTTCCTTACTTTCACATCAAAAATCACGTAATATCTTTACTTTGTCTCTTCCTTGTCTAACTTATTAGCTATTAATCAATCATATTTTTTCTGTCTGTGCAGTTACAGTTTACCAAGATCGACTACTATCATTATTAGCGAAATTATTCGACATCTTGGGTTGAAAGAGAAAATCATTTTGATTTTTGTGTTCGATTAGATTCTTCAAAATTTTAATAACAACCAGTTTAACGTCAACTACAAGTTAGACACATGCAACCTACTGTAAATTAAATTTGGAAACATCTGGTTAAAGGTCGTTTAACTCCAAGTAGAATAAGTAAAGAAGGGAATTTATTTTGACAAGCGTCACGAGAGATCTATAGCGATCAAGTAAAAAATGAAAAAAAAAAAAGAACTTACAAGATATGACAATTGACAGCCATTTTTTTTCCTTTTTTAACCACCATATATATCTGTCATAAATAATTACCGACTGTGTTACTATATATGAAGAAACGGCCCGAAAATGAATTATCATTCCATCTTTGCCTCGCAAAGGCGGGAAAAAATGGTATTATAGTCGGTAAATAACATAAAGATAATCAACTCAATGCTAAAAAGGATCCTGTGTAATAATCATCTCTTTGACCCAAGTCTTGCCATCAAAACCGATAGAGCTTTCTAAAATCTGTAAAGGTGCGTAATGAATGGAAAAGATATACTCGTGCATATCTCTATTTTCCTTGGATGACTGATATTGTGTGGTACGAGGAGTTTTATGTTAGAATTTTTAAATATAAACTAACAATAATCGTAGATTTTATGTTTTATAAAAAAGAATAATATCGCGGTTAAATTATGATCTATTAAGTTTATAGATTATGATCTGTCTCAATTAATTAAATAAATTTTATTTTTTTTAATGTAGGAACTGTTTCGTTCAAATTCTTTTATGGGATTGCTCATATAAGGGGTATCATATTATAAGGATTTGTTTCACTTTTTCACATCTTAATCCATAAAAAATATATTTTGTTCTTTTTTAAAAACTATGTTTTAAGTTTCTAGAAAATGAGAGAGAGAGACTTAATTAGAGAGCAAGATAGACAATTTTTATTTATTAGTAATTTTCCTTTTATGCGTTCTAGTTTTAAGCCCATATATGTTCTTGTTGTGAAAAAATAACACGTACCTGCTGATAAAAGTGTAGGTTTTTCCTTTCACGATACGAAGGGAGGCAAGTATAATACCCCTGAATATTCTACTATGGATTAAAAGGCAAAGTCCAGGTGGAGGAATGGTTCCCAAAGTGATCATGTTTGGGATTCAAGGTTCTCCATGTCGTATGCTTAAAGCATCTTCATTTTCAAGCAGTCGTTGCTGAAAGCTGCTTTTCAACTTCTGTTGGTTAACCAGATTTTGGAACCTCAAGAAATGGTCCTCTAAATAATTAAGACAACGTATCTACCCGGAATTGGGTGATGGAATCACTTATGTAATTACATATATCACACACACTAGAAATTCTAACAATTATTGTTTACATATTGACGATTGAGAAAAAGAATTACCGATCACTTGATGCGGTCCCAATTGCCAGTATGCAATCTGACAAGAAAGAGAAAAAGCTAGAACCGACCACACAACTATAGCTTTATTGTTAAAAGTGGGAACCTACTGATATCACCCGATCGCATTGAAATCAAAAGACGCAAATGTACAGAAATGTCGAAACCAAGGAAAGAGATTGCTTTAAAAAAGATAACCTAAAGCACAATTAAGTTTTCCGATTGGAAACTGCAAAATCTTCATATATCAACCATCTTTGATACTATTTCACCAACTGAAGGGTGATCGTGTGGAAGCAATTACTTGCTGCAAATGCCGATGTTACGTTCCATGCTGAACTATTTTTCAATTTGCATCGCAATTGTATTTCAGTAAGGGGATCACTCTACCTCTATTCATTATCATTGTATCATTTTCCATGAGTGAGTGTATGTACGTAATCTGTTCGTGAGAAAGAGAGAGAGTAGCATGATTGATAGATTATAACCAAAAATTTTCTTTTACATAAAGTTAACTAAACATTAATTACAAGCTATATAAAGTATAAACCAAAAGCAGCAAACCAGATAAGTAAAGTTTCTTCGATAAAAAACAAAGACAAAACATCGAACTGCTTGAAACCCCATAACAGCCCATTTAATTTCTCCCTAGCTTTCCACTAGCTTCTCATTTGTTACGTGTTGCAAAAGAGATCGGCCAATCTTCCCGCACAAGAATTTAATTATACTAGCTAGCTAGTCTAAATTAAATCCTTCGTACGCCCCCACATTACAAATATTTCACATAACTGAGCACCCGGTCTCATTATCATCATCACCAAACTCATTGATTGGATCGAAGGGTGGAGCTGGTGGCTGGTACCTCTCCTGGTGATAGTGAATATGATGAGCGTGCATGGGATGTGCATAATAGGACTCACTGCCACTACGATATGCTGTGTTGTAATTTATTCCATAAACTGGAGGAGGTGGATAATACATTGGTGGATACGTGTATACATGCTGTTGTGGAGGGCTGTGACTCATCAAGGGCGGCATAGATGGAGCTGAGTCAAGAGCAGCCATGGAAGGCCCCATACTATCGGCCGGTACACCACCAGAATTATCACCATTGGCGCCGTTGCTAGAATTGCCGTTTGGCTTTTTCTTCTTCTTTTTCTTCTTTTTGCCACTGCCACCACCCCCAGCAGCCGCAGCAACAAGAGCAGCACTTTCTACGCCAGCATCATCGCTTTCAGCATCTGAGTCTTGATCATCACCACCGATTCCAACACTACTTTTAGCATCCGTTTCAGGCTTTTCTGCTTGAGTACTTTTCTGATGATGGTCATCACCACCAACTTCTTGGACATCTTTAGGGCTCTTCTGCTTGCCATTCTTCTTGGATTTTCCGGAGTTTTTCTCCTTATTCTCAGAGTTTTGAGGCCAAAGCTCAGCGTATTTCCCTGATCTCATCAGCTTCTTGATCAGAGTCTGAGCGTCCACGTTGCCAGTTACAGTGACCTTATGCTGATAAGAATCAACTTCTGTCTTATAAACACCTGGTCAAATATAAGAAAATATGCAAAGTGAATAGATTCAAACTATAAGTTGATATTGAAATGGTTTTCAAATCGTATATAAGTATTTGATTTGAATATAACATATATATACCATCAATGCTTTGAAGAACTTTCTTGACTTTCTTCTTGCAGCCCTCACAGTGGATTGAGACTTTCAAGACCCATGTCTGCAAAAACAATTGAAAAATGGACTCAGAAAGTGTGGAAAAAAAACACTCCAGAAACAATGAAAGAAGTACTGAAAGGAGTAGGTGGACATGCGTCTATATACATGATAAGAGCTTTCTTTTTTTTACCTGGTATTTTAGCTCGTCTAAAGCCTCCTCGGCTGGTTTTATGGCCATCTCATAGAGATGAAAAGTTGTGGCCCTATTGGGTTAGAGAGGAAGGAAAGGAGAGCTTTCCAGTGAGTAGGCAATGGCTTAGGAATTAAGTGGAAGAAATGGATTAATAAGGGAGATGAAGAATGGAATGGAGAGAGAGAAAAGAAGCATTAGTAGTGAGTGGATGCCACGTCACCACTGGACCCGATGGACTAAAAGAGTATATCAACACAATCAGCAAATCACGTGATCAAGTCACGTGACCACCAGAGGATCCTTCGTCCCCTGTATCCTGGAGGCAACTCCTATAACCAATACCAGGAAACAAAGAAACAGAGAGAAATCCTGCGATTCTTGGAATGTACTCCGTCACGAGCTTTGTACGCCTATACAAAAGGAGAAAAGCATTCACGGCTATCAGCTATGGCATGTGGACCTATTGGTTTTATCAACACTGTCTTAAAAAAGGGATACTTTAGCTGTTGAAATCTGGGATTATTTAATGTCTCAATTTCAAGTGCTAAGAGAGATGAGGTGAAATTTTAAAATTGAAAGGCAAATATCCCATTTTATTAGCCAGGAACACTATACATATATGAGAAGGAATTTGAGTCCACATTCTTTATAGCTTGTGTACATATTTATATAACTAGTTATGTATTATAAAAAAAATAAAATAAAAGAAGTGCAAGCGATCGTACCTATACACTCAAAGTCTTTATTCAGGTATTTTTTTTCATCTTGGTTCCTCATTCTTTGAGAGATAAATTAGTTAGTCTCTTTGGTTTGAAAACTAATTTTTTTTGTCCTTTTTACCATTTTCGTTTACAATCACTTCACATATATATATAAACGTCATCTATTCTTCTAAATCTAATGATATATATTAACTTATTCACTCATGTATCGTTCTCCATTCTCTAATGAATAGACTCGGAACCTTCATTGCTTTGGAGGTAATATAATTTGTTGACTAATTTATCATCTTTCCCAACTATTAAAGTTTTTTAGGACTATTATTATAGTTAATAATTATAATATATTATCATTATATTTTATGAAAAAATAGCAGTGTTTTTTTTTAAAACATATGGCCTCCTTTTTTTTTTTTTTTTAAGTTTCTATATTTGTAGGATTATTATTATATATTCAAATATATTATTTAGATCCTTATTCATTAGAAATATATTTTGTTTAAATAATAAAATTATTTATATAGTTAATAATTATAATACATTATCATTATATTTTCCAAACAAAAAATAATAATTACTATAAAATAGTTTTTGTATTTTGATTGTGAATATTATATTTATGCAATGAGTTTTTGTTTTTTGTTTTTTTTTTTTTTTAACTTCGGCCTCCTTTTTTTTTTTTTTTTTTCGGTTTCTATATTTGTAGGACTATTACTATATGGTCAAATATATTATTCGGGTACTTATTTATTATAAATATATTTTGTTTAAATAATAAAATTATTTATAGTTAATAATTATAATATATTATCATTATATTTTCCAAAAATATATTAAATAATTGTCATAAAATAGTTATTTGTATTTTTATTGTGAATATTGTATTTATTATACTACATAATATTTTGTTATTATTTTAAATTATGATATAAATAATATATTAATATATTATTTTGCGAACTTGAATATATATAAAAATTGATAAGTATTTTAGTAATATAATATATTTGATAATTATACCATATAATTAAATTAATATTACATTGTATTAGTTAAATGTTATTTTAAATATATTGGTATATTAATATAATATTTATTAATAAATGATTTATTTAAATATTGATGAGAATTGTTCCCCTTCCATATAAATAATTTATTATTTTTTATTTTTTATCGAGAAAATTAGGTATGAAAATATAAAAAAAATCGTTATTTTATTTTATTTTACGTATAGTTTGATGGTAATAGAATATATATGATATTTTTTAAAATTTTAGTTTGAACATATATATCTGATTATATTATTTTTATTATTTAAAATTTATTTCTTCAATTATTTCTTTCTTATTAAAGTTCTCATCCAATTAATTTTTAAATTTTACATGGTTTTATTTGTTAATAAATTTGATTTTTTATATATGGCTTTCGAAATAAAATTTTAGAACTCGATTGTTTTATTTTCTAAAAATATATTATTAGTATTTATATGATTGATTATTTTTATGATTTTTCAATAAAAATAACGTTGTTGCATATATAAATTCGATGAGAAAGAGAGAGCTCGAAGTGTACTTTAGATATTATATTCATTCTAAAAAAGAAATAAAAGAACTAAGGTTTTTCCTATTCATTTACTCGTAGCATTTTTTTTTTTTTTTTAGTGTTGGCTCGGAGAAGCGAGGCTCCGGTGCGTGGCTCGGCTCATTTTATAATTTTTTTTTTTTTTTAGGATTGGCTCGGAGAAGCATTTTTTTTTTCTTAGAGGGCTGGCCTTAAGAAGTGGGCTCAAGCAAGCCTCGTACAAGCGAGTCCCAATCAGCATTTTTTTTTCCTTTTAATAATTTATTTTTATATTTTTAATCATGAAATTATGTGTGAAAATATAAAAAAGATCGTTATTCTTTTTATTTTTACATACATTTGTATGATAATAGTATATATAAAAATTTTAAAAATTTCAATTTAAATATATGTATCCGATTATATTATTTTATTGTTTAAAATTTATTTCTTCAATTGTTTGTTTCTTATTAAAATTCTCATCGAATTATATTTTAATTTTATATAATTTTATTTGTTAATAAATTTGATTTTTTATATATGGATTCTGAAATAAAATTTTAGAACCTTGATTGTTTTATTTTTTAAAATATTATTATAATTTATACGATTAATTATTTTTATGATTTTTAAATAAGAGTAGCATAATTGCATATATAAATTCCGATTAGGGAGAGAGAGCTAAAAGTGTGTTTTAGATAATTTTACTTAATTTTTTTAAAAAACAATAATCATTTAAAAAATTGATTTGACTCAATTTTTTTTTAAATTAATATATATACCAACCGGGAGTGACCTTGCTCTTTTTTTTTTCTTTCTATAATTTATTTTATATTTTTAAAAGTCCGACCACTCGATCTCATGAAAGAACAAAAAAAAAAAATTAGCTAATTATTTTAAATCTTGATGTGTCTTAGGATTGGATCACTAAGAGGCAAAAAGAAACTCTTAAAAGAATATACATATTGTCATAGCATAACTAGATCTCCAGCATGTGATGTATAAGTTAACCAATTATATATAATTGGTCCATTCACCGAGAAAGAAAACATATATATTATTAGTCCCTTTAATGTCCCTAAATCAATATTAATTATATCTTTGACATTGATGTTAACATACATATCTAATTATTTTATTCTTATTATTTAAAATTTATTTATTCAATTATTTATTTCTTATTAAATTTCTCATTAAATTAATTTTTTAATTTTTTGATATAATTTTATTTGTTAATAAATTTGGTTTTTTAATGTATGAATTTTGACTCAAATTTTTTTTTTAAATAATAACGAGTTCAAAAAATTCATAATTTTTATTTTCTTTTTTATATATATTTATTTAAAATTTATCGAACCAATTTTGTTATAGTTTTTATTTTAATCTATTGACTTCAATATATTTCTACAATTTAGGTGGTTTTTTTCTATTTATTCTATATACTCGAATCGTTATATATATATATATATATATATATATATATATATATATATATATATATATATATATATATATATATAGTTTCATTAGAAATTAACTATGTATAGATTCGATTTATATTAATCATCAAAAATAAAACTTTCTAATTACATTACATCATATGAATCGTTAACCCTATATATATAACGGTTGTCCGCATGTTGCGTAGCGCAGTATCCAATTAGTAATTACTAATTAAAAATATATCTACAAACTTGCTTGGTGGTTTGCGGGAAAGGGATGGTATTTTTTTTTTGGTTAAACAGGTCAAATCTTTTTAAATTTAGTTCATTTGAAAATCAGTATTTTAATTTTTAATTTTTAATTTGATTTTTTTAGAAAAATTTAGTTCATCTTATGTTTTTCAATTATTACTTCTCTTTCTAAAAAAAATTAATTATTGGCATTTTGAAATTTTTGCATGCATGTTGAAAAAAAATCAATCTATTTTCTAAAAAAAACCCTAGATTTTTTCAAGATCAGAAAATACAATTTTTTATTTTATAAAAATTAAAAATATAAAAAATGCAAAAAATTATAAAATAACTCGAAATGATTTTATTTTATTTTATTTTTGAGAATTTTAGATAAATTGTACTAAATGATCTCTATTATTATAAAACTATTTACGTGATTTTTTTTTAACTCAAAACTAAACAATCGACTAAATCTCAAAAAAAAAAAAAAGAAGTTAAATCTAAAATTATGAGTTTAAAAGTTAATTTTCAAATAGACTTAAATTTAAATGACATTTGACCTGTTTATCCTATTCTTTTCACGATGTTATTTAAAAAACACTTAAAACAATAATCATTTAAGCTTTTACCACACCTTTTAACCACCCTAACACCCGTACCGGTTTAGCCTAAAACATATTAATCGCACTCATTAACAAAAAACAAGAATTTTTTAGCAGTAGGAAACTGTACCTATCACACCAGTTGGTGCAACAGGAAACGAGAATTTTCAGTTTCAACAAATTAAGAGAGAGCAAGTGATTAGTTTAGTCATGCATCGTGAAAATGAAGTTCCGGATCCCATCTAGACCAAGGATGCAAGTAATGTCTCCAAGGATGTAATGTCGCTAAATCATATGCGAACGACTTTACAACTTTACACATAAAATTACGTACTTATCATTATTTTCGTGCAAAGGGGGTGGAATGTTGCTCATTTTTCCAGTAGATTCTAAGAAGTTACTTAGAGATTGGAAGACCCTAAAGCTAGTTTCTCTTAGCTTAATTAAGAGTTCCTTGACTCTAAACAACCAAATTTGTTTCACCTGAG